TCTTAATTCATTTCCTGTTCATATAACGTTAAACACAGCCTATTCCTTTATTCAGTGTTCCTTTACTCCCAGTATCTCGGTTATACTTACTACTGGTTATGCTTACTGATCTGTTAACCTATGTTTCATTTCCGACTCATGTTTGATAAACTTTGCTTACACTTCATACATAGCCTCGGACTCTTGCTTACTGATCTTTCCGTTATCCCTTAGTATATAAACTCGTGTATATGTCCGGTAGTACCTCAGTTCAAATATCATCTTAGTTTGTCCTCTTTCTGTCCTCCAGACTTGAGTCTAATCAGCTCTTGTCAATCTCTGAGACTTCAGATCGATTCCGATAGTCTACATCTCCGCCTCTATCTTTGGATAGTCTATTCTCTGTTTGTATACGTGTTTCCGATATCTGGAAGTCATCTGGATAACACTATGAGACTTGTCCGACCCTCCAGATGTGTTATTGTTAGCCTCTGAAATAAGGGACAGTACTTGGGAAAGGGGCACAGCATACGAGCTGAGGCCAAATGTTAAGACCGTGCACAAAGGGTAGGACTGATTCCAAGGGGCTTGGCTTCAGCTTGTGCGCTGCGCCCCTTACCCAAGTATGTGCCCTTAACTTCAGAATGAAGTCCGGAGGAAGTCCAGTGAAGTCCGAAGGACTTCCAGAAGAGCGTGGGAAACTTCGGAAGGACTTTCCGGACGAGTGCGAGAAACTTCCGGATGAGTGCGGGAAACTTCCGGAAATTACAATGGAGTTTCGTCCTGACAGGGATATGTGTAATGGCTACTCAGGACTTGTCCTAAGTAGAAGCAAACAGAGGAAAGGCTGCAAGGACAAAGTCTGAAGCAGAATAGGTCCGGAGGACCGTGGGAAAGTTCCGGAAGAACTTCTGGAAACTTGGAGGAATAGTGGATCGGAGGAGTGGAGGAGCGGAGCTCTGACCTAGGGAATGCCTCCCTAGGCCTGAGATGGATATTGACTAAGTTGGAGGACTAGAACTGATGTGAGGACTTAGTGTGAGATCTAGTGCGAGGACTAATATGTGATATTCAGACTGAGGAAGTATAGAGACTTTACAGGGTTTATATACTACAAAGGACATAACGGAGAATCAGTTAGCGCAGTGCGAGGCTATGTGAGGCTATGGACGGAGCATGTAGAAATGTCTAACACTAGTCTATCGGAAAATAGTAAATGAAGACGGAAATGAGAATATAGTAAAATAAAGGTGGAAATGAAATGAGGTACAGAAAATGAGTATAGTCTAACTTGAGAAGGAACGTACAAAGGGAAAAGGCACGGAAGATAGACGCGGGTCGGATCCGGATGTTCGGAAGTCCAGAGACACGTGATTACCATAAGGGGATGGGCGCTGATTTAAGGTTTGAGTTTGGACATGACAGATAGGTCGGATCCAGAGATGTGGATGTCAAATCAGATGTCTGGACATTGGATCTGGGAATTGGGCAAAATAGAGAAGCTGAAGGTCTGGAGACATGGATAGGAGATCTGGATGTCCGGATGAGGCATGGGAACATCGTCAGATATAGGTCCGGAATACAGGATATGACACCGAAGTCCTTCGGATCTGATCCTACGAGAGTATGACCTTAACACATAATATCAGCCTATATGGGTTATCATTAACAGCATTATACACTCACTTTTATAGGACCTTCCAGTAAAAAGAAGCATGCTGCTCATATACATAGCAATTTTTGGTACTATAAAAAACTGCACATACTAAGTAGCTTGTCTATTGCCTCTTTTGCCTCAATAGTCTGCTCCTGAGTATTTGCTCTTAAGTTTGTTTTTGCCCCAAATATCTCATATACCTAAGTAATGGGCCTTAGTGGTGAAACAGTTCATATTAGACTTTAGGTGGGTTACAGAGTTGGACATCGTGACCTCATCTCATTACAAAACCAAACATATTTGATGATCTTTGGAGAGAAAGTACTTAGTGAAATATGAAGTCATACTATTGGGAACAGTATCAAAGAGAAGATGATTTAACAAAAAAACAACTTTAAAAAAAAAATTTCAATTATTATCCTATGGAGAGTGAGACTCTATGGACCAAACTATCTAGCCTATAGGACATGTATGTCTTTAAACACATCTTTAGGTACACGAATGCCCTGGTATAGGATGTACCTCTACCAGTTCACTATTCCTGCTGGCCATTTTAGATGCACCACCTATTGAGGATAAGATAGCTGTAATGTGTATGCAGTAAGTGTAGACTGTCTAATGAAGAACTGAACAAGTACTCAGCTGCTTGCACAGTCTAGTATAGAAATCTGGTTGGAGACAGTAGGATAGTATATATATGAGAGAGCCAAAAAGGTTGACAGTAAACTTCTCCCATCCGGCCGACTAAGGCCAAGGGTGAGTGTGAGTGATTCCATGTAGATGAGTGTGTTATGTTGTATATGAGAATAATATATGCATGTGTATGTCAATGCAGTGCTTGTGGTGCTAGAAATGGGGCAGAAGTCATCATTCAGAAGGTTCATGAGGAAGTGGGATATCACTAAAGGTCGCTCTCAGTCTCCTGGTAGCATTGATGAACTGAACTAGATGAGGTATAGCAAGAGAGTTGGATAGTAGGTAGGGGATGGAGGAGGCCTTGCAGCCAAGTGTACAGGTAAGTGTATGATGTTCTCTTCGGTGGTAAAGATAGGTGATGAGAAGATAGTGCATCATCTCCTCAATTTGTGTGCAATGGGCACAAAGTAGGCTAGTGACTCCTATGTGATGCAGGTGCTTGTTGAGAGGGATATGGCCAGTGCAGAGAGACATGTATAGGCTGGTGAGTCATTTGGGAAATGCTATGGATAGCTTAAGAAATGATCTTTGTAGCAGTTTGGGATCTATCTAATGCATGCATGCAAAATATGGAGACTTGTGTCATAGGTGTTCTCATCGGATGTGCATATCTTTACGATGGACTTCCTTGAGTGCTGAGATACTTAGGGGCAGAGCACCATGGCATAGGAAGTTGGGTAGCCAGGGACACGAGCTATTGTTCCACGTGCTCTCTGCTGTGAGCTTGGCATATTTATCCACCTCCTCATTTCCATGGACATTCAAGTGCCCTAGCACCCAATGTACTGAGACTGCAAAATTGTTGTGGTCCTTCACAACTTGTTGCATCATTCTGCAAAAACAATCTGCCAAATATGATCCTGGATATGAGCAGAAACTCTCACCAGTCTAAATGAAGGCTTAGTTGTCCACTGATATCAATAGAGGAAGGCTAGGTCACATTCTGCAACAATGAGTCTTGCGGCTAGTGTCAAGCCAACTTCCTCGGCCTCGAAAACAGTATGTTCTTTCTCAGTATCCAAGTGATATCTCAGTGTTCTAGGACTTTTCCTAGTACAAAATAGCACTGCTGCGGCACCAATCTTATCCTTATATTCTGATCCATTATAGTATACCTGAATAACATCTGTTAGTTGCTTATATTCAGCAATAGCTGTCCCTTTGCTGTTAGTGTAGTCTATGGGTTCTTGGTGCTAGATTAGTGTTTCTACTTTATCTAGATCAATGGTATAGTGATGGGTGAGTCTGTGGAGGAAAGAGCGATGTGAGCTAATATGGTGCTACATAGCTCTTCTGAGCAACAGATAGAGAGGATGTGTACTAGGGTGGGTGATGAGTCAGATGATGGTGCAGTGGCAAGTATTCTGTAGGAGTAATGTGGTGGGAAGGAGGTTAGCACATGCCTCAAGAACATCAGTTGCCATTGTCCTCATAGCCCTAGTGATGGCTATCACTGCAAGTCGTTGGACCAAAGACAGTCATCTTGTAACACTGATGGATCCTCTCTATAGGTTGTCTGATCCAGTCCAGAAAGCTGGAGAAAACTAATGGTCAGTAGTGTAGAGCATTTTCTGTACTGCAACAGCTTGGCATAGCTGTCACATTAAACACATTGGCAGTCCTTTAGCAGCAGAGGAGAGACAGTGCAGCTAGAGTATGTATGTTGTTCTATGTGTGGCCACATTGTCTACTTGAGCCTTCCAACAAAGCTCCTGGTCAAGGATTACTCCAAGGAAACAGTGAGTTGAAGTTGGCTGGATGGTGGCACCTTGGATAAGCATATTAGGATGGTCTTTGTGCCTGTTCATGGAGAAGCCCTTAAGTGCAAACTTGTTGGTCTCGAAGTGGTGACACACACCAAACCGGTTTTGTGCATGGTCATGGCTACTTTTTAGCCTTGAAGTTTCTTATGTTTGCTCTATGAAATTACTACAAACTTTTTACACTGCCTTATGATTTTATTTGAGTAATTTTCAGACCTGAAGACCTTATATTACAACTTAACCATTCAAATTAATACTTATCTGGTTCAAAGATCAGTTCCAAACATACTACAACAGATTATTCAGCATTTCTCATGATCTCTTATATCTTCACACATATTCCTCATAACTTTCTGTATGTTTTGGAACATACCCAAGATAACGCTTCAATATATCACCAGTCAGATGAAATGAATTAGTCAGATATTTGAGTGGAGAAAGTTTATAGATGAGAATATTTGAGAAGTGAACAAGTCAATATGGAACATTTTGACAACTGAGTTATTATGAGTCATTTTCTGTCTGAGTGTTAAGAATGTGCTCAAGGGTCAAACCCAGTGAAAATCAGTCGGATGCCCTCACACGGAGAACAACGGAAATCGACGGAACCTGAACAGCTGGATGTCCGTATATGAGCGTCGACAAATGGTGTGTTCCGTCGATACTCAGACGACCGGTCGCGACGCTGATTGACGCCAGTATACAAAACATCGAGTAGTTATATTTCCGTAGATTTGAATGTATGTTGCTTCTCAGATTGTATTGATGCAAAATGACGGAAAACAATGCATTTAGACTGCAACAAAGCAACGAAAAAACACTATAAAAATAGGCTACCAGCCCGCCCATTCATACCAGCTCCTCCGTCCTACTACCCACCCCTGCTCACAATACCCAGCACCTAGCTAATGCAACGTGCCACTGGAGAATTTTGCGAGAATGTCGACTGTGTTCACAGTCCACACACTGTCTGCAACCTAAACAAAAGACACGAATAAGTGCACAGCAGGAATAGGATTGATACTTACCAGACTCGAAGCCTCGATGTCGTAGCTCTGCAGTAGTAGGTATTACAATTAGCAGACTAGAACACGATAAGAAGAATCAAAAAAGATACCGCTTGACGGGTCTTCTCGAGCGAGTCCCAATATACCTTGAAGTCTTGCGAGGATCTGTTCGGCATTAGCTGCTTCAGCCAGCGATGAGTGCAATGATTTCTAAGAAAAATGTTGAGTTATCGGAAAATAAAACAGGGAGCCACACTAACCTGCCGTTCTTGGTAGTAGCCGGACAGAATTTCTTGGTATTGGTAGTGTTCATAGGTGCAGTTGTAGTATCCTTCGAGTTTGATGTGGTGGGGACAGGCACACCGGTGACAGCAGTAGAAATAGGCACGGTGACAATGGTAGTAGGAATAGGTGTGGTGGTGACAGGCATGAGAATATCTAAGTTTGATGTGCGGGCAGGTGCAGTAGTATCATCAGCGCTAGTAGACTCAGACATCGAGTCAATGAGCATTGGCGCTGGAGCTGTTGGAGCTGCTGTTGATGTCGAAGGACTCGAAGTGGCCATGCTAGGAGGAGTATCATTCAATATTTGGAGCTGTTTCTGAGCTGCGGAGTCTTCGTGTTTCTCCTTCAAAAGTTTTATCGTGTCTTTGCTGTCGCGGTAACCTTATCAGTAAAGGCAAAAATGTCGTAACTAGACTCACAATGGATTTTTCAAAAGAATTACAGGACGTGGTGCGGGAACGATGACACTGGGGCTTTTGGGTGTCGCAACTTGAATGACATTGATGGTAGTTGATGTTTCCGTTGAAGGGTCGGCATCCTTGTTGTCCACTCTAGCTCGTTTTGGTTGGTCGGCACAATCCAAGTCTTTGGTGATGGAATCCTCCTGAGTTGCAATCGAAACATCTGAAGAACTGTCCGGTGTCCGACTATCCATCTTTCACTTGCGCTGACCTCCTTGTTTGGATTCCGCATGACCAAGTGGCTTGACATCAACATCACGGGCATGAAGAGTTGCCTGCACGGCTTTTTTATGGGTACTTGTCCATGATGAGTATCATTCGGTTGCGACGGCCTCGATCTTCCAGTAGCCTTCACTCAGTGCCAACTCAGGATGTGCGCTGTAGCACTCGAGCTTGCGCTAGGCTCGTATTCAGCTGATTCACGATTCATGTCTAATGCCCGTTGCACAATAATCACTTCCCGTTCAATCCGACACTTTGACATCGGACCCGACACTTTGACTGGCGGACCTGACGTTTCCCACGCATCGGACCCGATATTTTCCTGTGCACTTGTCCTATCCGTGTCCTGTCCTGTCTTGCTAGCCCCACTAGGTGCGTAGTTCATTATTTCGCACATTACTCACGTCATAGCAAGCGCTATTACATGTTTTCCCATAGTCCGCAGTGCCTCATGTTTGTTTACATGTACTTTGGATCTGAAATACTCCACCACTACTTTCACCTATGAGTTCCACATTTCTACGTACTTACATATATATTGGACTGACCTCGAGCATTATTCATTATCCAAGTAGTGGGGAGCCATTCTCCAACGCTTTGTGGTCAAACCCAGTATTTCGTAGTTCTTAGTTGACATTGCAAATATTACCACTCTTTCTATCCGAACTAACCGTCTTTATCGATATTCACCGCATACCGCTCGCTTTCCCGACATTCGTTGTCATTATTCTCCGTAGTCCGCTGAACCCGCACCCGAAACCCGCTAGTCCGCTAAACCCGAAAAACATAGGACCCGACGCTTTGGCGTTGGACTCGTGATTATACCTTCGGACTTTGTTTCCCGCGCTCGGACTTTTGATCATTTGACATTCCACTATTTACAGACTAATACCAGATAGCTAACCTCTTGGGTCGAACACACTTGTCTACAAGTATAGCAGACTAGGCCGTGCAAGACCACAACATTTTAAATTGCTGATTACTTACTTCGTGTAGTGTTCAGCAATTGTTGTCTCGTTACAGCGCGTGAAACTTCAGTGTATAGCCAGTTTTTCGCTGCAGGAATTGCTTTCCCCCAGGATGCCGGAGCCTTGTCTTGATGAGTAAGTCCAAACCATACTGAGCGGAAAGTTTTCATGACGTCACGGAGCTCATTAGGGGAGAAGACATTGCCATCACACTTTTCTAGGAAAGGAAGTGAGCCTTGATCTGCTGCTGCACACAGTCCATCTGTCCGTTCCCATCGTTTGAAATCTTGATGTGTCCAAAACTTGACATCAGGATAGTCTTCCTTTTTTGCTGGGTTGACGGGCTCCCGATCGTCGTTGCCAGAGGTCGTTTTGATGCTGATCCTGGCTCCATTTTCGATCGTGTATGCAGAGACATTGTCGGACAAAGATAGCTGTCCTGAGAGAGTCAAAAAGCGGTCCTAAGAATTTTAATCGGATGTATCAGCAAATTCAACTGTCAGAAATGCAAACTTACTGATAAGCATCACAAGAGGCAGTTAAAGCAATTACATCTTGTTTTAATTGCTCATTCTGAGCTTGTAGTTGAAACACTGAGTCAAAAGAGTGACTATATGCGCCCTATTTGTAGTGTATATACGATGTTTGGATACGAAAATGAAGGGAAAAACTCACGTTATTGTGCAGCGATGATGATTTACTCATTGGTTGTCAGAACAGTGGTCTGTGTTCTGATGTAGAAGAAGTGTCTGAAATGAAAGGATCGGTTATTTTCCTACGACTTGATGATGCTGCAAAGTTCGGAGAAGGAGTGCCAGTGTTGTTTAAATAAGAGTACAAGTTTGCAGAAAGAGTGTGATGGTTTGCAGGTGTGAAGGACATGATGATGGTATATGATAGTGGTATAATCAAGAGATGTGAATATCATATGATATTGTCATGCTGCCTACTAGTACAAGTTGTCACACCGTGACTTTGTCAAAATGTCAAATAGTTATCAGCTTGAAGTGTCAAAAGAAAACCAGGAGCCAGCTGCGAAGCGAGGTGTACTACTATAGCCTGAGTATAAAATCAACCTTCTTCCTCATCACTGTCACCATTGTCGTTGTTCTCTTCAAGAAATACTCCAGTTGTTGAAACATCCAAACCAGCTCTCTCCACGACAAAAAAAACGATCTTCAGTAACTCCAGATGGTAAGGTGGGTTGATGGGGTATTACAGTGACGACTGCCTGGATCTGTTCAATCTCCACAACATGCAGTCCGTGTTCACCCTGGTGTTTGCATGACCAAACTGTACCAAAAGACAGTTCTAGGAGTGCAGCATCAGGAGGAGAATAGACAGAGACAACTGCGATGTTTTTGAAATGCCATTCTGGGCCTTGCAATCGATTTAAGAACTCTTTGTTGTCTTCATCATCCTGAGGTTCAGCATTTGCTGTAGCAGCCAGCTGCGTGAAAAACTGCACTTCAGCAAAATGTGTAGCTCCGTCAATTTCAAGCTAAACATCAAAGTTAGTTGAGTTTCGAAAGGTTGTTTCAATAGGCTAAAGAACTTGCCTTGATGTTTCGGGCTGATCGTGAATGTTCTACTGGTCGGTCTCTTTCTTTCCAAGCTGATCGTGAAATTTGACCATTAGGAAGACGGAGACAGGCCCAATGAAAAAATTTCGGAGCTTCATGGCCAAGAAAGTCAGCCATTGCCGCTGCCTCTGCAGGACTTGCAGCATGATGTGACCGTTTGTCATGGGCACGGAGAAGCACATAGCCATTGCCAATATCCAGAGAGTATTGTGGAGCAAGTACATCTGGTGGATCAAAGTGTGGAAACATAGATTTGATGGCATTGGTTTGGCAACAAAGCAAGCATACCTGTGTGAGGCATGCATATGGCAATTTTGGTTGACGGAGATCAAACTCAACATCAGTTCTTTCTATGGTCCACTGAGATGAACAGATAGGTGAGCCGACACGAGAGGCTTCGAGAGCAAGGTGGTTTGATAAGTGTACACATGGGCGAACAAAATGGAGACGGTGTGCGAGACATTGATAGTAAATCTCTTCAAATTCACCTTCCCATTCTGTGAACTTAACGAAGGCATCCATGAGTTGAGCAGAGGTTATGCTGTATTGGCTCATGATACGAAGGGCTTGTGTGAACTTGCAGAAATTGACCCAATACTTGTGTGGAAGAATACCATAAAGCAATGCAGGAGCAAGACCAAAGAGCCATGTGATGTACTTGCGGGCTTTATAATGCGTGTTCATTTTTTCGGCAGGGTTTTGTGGGGGATTGTAGAATGAGCCTGGAAGATATGGCCAACATACAGCAACTGCAGAGCCATGCTCTTCCCACATGTCGTCAACAAGGACTGCCCAGTCCCACATAGCACGGTCATCTGGGGCATAGTTCTTCATTGTGCCACACCATAAGTCTGTAAACAAAGCAGCCATGTTGGCACCTGAAAAATGCATGATCTCGCTCAAAAAAATCTCTGGAATGCCAAGGATGTGGTCAAGGTCAAGACCTAGAAGGATACTGGGGCCAACGATGCCAGTTTGTAAGCGATGTTTTTCATACTGTGCTTGATTCGGTGATGCCATTAAAATGCGAAGTCTTCGGACATAATCCTCTGATGAGCCTAATTGTGTAGCAGCAGGGTCAAGGTCCTCATGATCACACCCAGAGACACTGTAGTCATTGGGCTTGAGAAGGGCAGGATAGTAATGGCCACCTGGTTGACGACGGCCTTCGACACCACATAGCATCCGACAACCATTCTTTCCACTATGTCCTACAAGGTTGCTCACACATGTCAGTCCAGGGCCATCAGCGAGTGTGAGGAACAGGAATGGATGGGACATGAATGTCACGTCATGACGAGCATCCCAGATTGTGAGTCCTTCACGCTGGAGAGCTGCGAGATGGTGGAGACCTGGATAGAGAAATGACAGAATATATTTAGGCTTATTGGGCCCAGGAATGACAGCACCAATCACTGCGGAAGTGAGAAACTGATCAGACCATATTCCGAGGGAGAAAGGGCAAGTGAGCAGACACAAAATGTACCTAGCTGTTAATCCGACGCAAATCCGATGTATCGTAGATTTTGAAGCAAAGCCTTCGTTTGGTCCACAGCTACAAACGTAAACAGATGCTTTTCGGACTTCGCCACCATGTCTTTTCCGACGTCCATTTATTCTCTTCAAATACTTGCTGTTCCAACACTAACTGACCCAGGAAATCCACTATTTTGACGTCTGCATACGATTGGATTTAAGTGAGGTACGTTTTTCGAAAAATTTCTCTTAAGTCCATCATTAACTCGCACTATGTCGGACGACGCAGATAAGATCAAGCTTGAACTACCTTCGAAACTACAGGCATTCAGTTTTACCTTTGAAACCAAGCGGCCAGGGCCTATGGTAAGTTTTAGATTTAAATACAACCGACTAACTAAGTACCTTTGTAGACAGTCGAAATCACACTCAGACAGCCCACCAAGCGGCCCAGATTACTACAAGTTCCTGAACATGTCGACCTCAGCGCAACCGAATCCAAAACTCCTGACCAACTTCAAGTCATGCACTGGCAAGAGGCCCAGAAATATAAAGTAAGTACTATGCATCCTTGTAGCTAGCTAATCATACTAACCAATATGCTTGGAAGAAGTCCGCAGCTGGAACTGTGGCAAGGATCGATACAGAAGAGACCTTCGATAGTAGCGACACGGAGAAAGAGACTCTGGCAGAGTTCACCCGCTGGTACAAGGCCAAGAAGGCTGTAAGTTTGTTCCTCTGTCTGCGATATTGGCACTCAATATTATCTATCAGTTGAACGACCTAGCTCAAACTTCTCTTGTCGATGATACCATAGCATGAGGTCATGGGCATACAGAGCAGGGGAACAAGGCCTGATTAGTTCTGAAGCTCATACCCCGCAGAATCGTGATACAGAGAACCACGATTGAAGCCTAGGTGCGGCATCATATGGGGCTGATGATGTGCAGGACCCGAAAGCTGACCGTAGTCACCTCCAGGTCCGAGAGAGGGTGCACAAGACCCTGAAGACTCCTGAGAATGGAGTGTGTGAGCTGTGTCCCAGGTATGGAGTCCCTCCCTGAAACGACGGAGTGACTAAGTTTTGTGATACGCTAGGGGGACGCATTATATGGGACGGCGTTCAATATTCCTGCGCCAGCGGCTTTGCGGCTTCACCAGCCTGAGGCGGTTGACTGAAAAAATCATCCACCTGTGGCAGCGCATGACCGCCCCGCCAGCATTCGATAGCGGGGTTCCAGGAGTCAGTAGAGGCAGAAACTGGTATGGACTCGGGTTTGAGTCGTGGCCTGGGGAACCAAACTGGTATGGATTCGAGTTCGTGTCGTTCATTGGCTGATTTTCTGGAGCACCGCTAGGGCTGCGCTGTGCCCCGTACATTGTTAGGCGAACAAGGGGGCTGTGGGGAATGGGGAAAAGCCAGTGCGAAGCACCCAGAAGCTGGCAAATCCCCAGAATCATAGGGATCTGCACATTTGTAACTAGATACTAATCCGAGTCAATCATGATCATATTCAGACACAATTCAGACATATGGTTTAGGTTCTACTGTTTCTGTGCACCTCTGCAACATCGAGTTTTCCAGTGTTGGATAACAGTCTGAATTGAGGATCTCTCCAGATTCTAACACCTCGGAATCCGTGTCATTTGCTACATCTGTTTAGATACTGTTTACATCGTCTTTTCGTACCCTTTCCAGGTCTGATCAGTTTCTCACTTCCGCAGTGAATAATGACATGTTTCTTTTTGTAGCGGTGTGCAGGAGAGATATTGATGACAATCCAAATGTAAATCCAAACATCACTTTGTTTTGTCTCGTATAGTTGAGCCCCGTCGAGTGACATCATCAGAACCATATCTTCAGGTTTGATATGCCCCTGCTGAACAGCCTCGAGATATGCACGACCGGTAATGACATCATCATATGCATCCGGCACACCCCCATTGCGGGCAACTTCTTCGAAGATTTGCTGCGTGCGCTGGTTGCGATAATGCATAAGCTCCGCAGAATCAGGGTGGCGCCATAATGCTTGAAGCTGTGGACCAATGGGAAAGGTATGGAAGATTTGGCAAGCACGTTTAATATGCCCTCTGCTCCGCTGAAGTTGAATGGGGTCATAGCGAGGCTTGTTGCATGTTGGGCAGCTATCGAGATCAGCATATGGACTGACAAATGCAACACAAGAGTTTATGCACTGGTCCTTAATAATTGATGTGATACCGGAAAGATCAGATATGATTTTTTTGACTTGATGGAGGCTTGGGATATTGTCCTCAGGGTGACAGTGAAGTGCAGCAGCACAAGACTTGTTGAAAGCACTCTTGGACACATGCTTGAGGGCAAGAAAAAGCGAAATGCCATGTTCAATATCAGGATTGTCGAGCTGTGCTTGTGCTTGTGGTGGGGTTCACAAACGCTCCAATGCATCTCCGATAAGTTCCACACCGTCGTTGAGAGTAGCATTATGCAGCGCGAGAATAAATTGCATATCTCGTTGAAGTTCAAAACATTTCGCATCACGAGACAACTGATCTAGGTCAAGATCTTTCAGTGGATTATGCCAATGTGCTGCAGGTGGTATCTCATTGTGCTCATTTTGATGGGGTGCACACATTTCATTATTGTCAAGATTGTCAGGTGGTACATCAGGCCCTCTATGCAGCTCGTCATTATCGCAACCTTCAATAGGCTCTATGTCAAGATCTCTGGGCAAGCCATCAAAGTCTGGATCCGGCATGTATTGATCATGGTCTGGACTAGCTGGGGGATGTGGACGATTGTCATCCTACATCACTATAGCATTAGCCAGGCAAGCTAGATTGTACATTTATCTTACATCAAAAATCGGATCTCCTGATCCACATCTGCACTTGCGTGAAGGTCCATCATCGTCACTGGAAGGAACTGGGGATTTAGATAGTGTGTGTCCTGAACCAGAGGCAACAGAAGGTCACACGAGAGATGGTCCTGCAGTTGGTGTGTCATTTGTAGTAGCAACAAAGTCTTGGAACGACCGAGAGAGCCGTGCAGCTCGCACTCGAGGCTTCTCATCCTCATCAGCCTCCTGCAGGTGTCTTTGCCATGTCCTGAGGGACTTCAGACATTTCTGCTGCCCATGACAGTATTTCCGACAGCAGCACCAATATTCTGCATCCATAGGCTAACTATAATGTTATGTACTTAGTAGCTGTGCAGTGAACGAAAAAAATGTACATTTCAAGGCCTGGGAGGCTTTGGATTGATTTCGAGTAGCCTCAATTGTGATAAAGTACAAAATCAACGTTGTTCGAGACTCGTTGAACACATTGAGCTGCGCAGTGTGCAGGAGATTTCAGCGTGTGCAGTCTTATCAGCTCAAATCAAACACATATTGTTGAACGTTTGTTTGCACAAGTTAGATTTCCATCGATCTAGGTCTACTGACTACTCCAAACTTACAAATCCGTTGTTCTCCGTGTGAGGGCATCTGACCGATTTTCACTGGGTGTTAAGAACGTGCTCAAGGGTTGGATCCGAAGGGCTTGGCTTCAGCTCGTGCGCTGCGCCCCTTACCCGAGTACGTGCCCCTAACTTCCGAGGGTTGTTGAACGATGTCCGAAGGTTACCGGACGATGTCCGATGCGCGGGAATTCCAGCGGACGTTCGGAAACAAGAGATAAGACTAATCCGGACGAAGTCCGAACTAGAAAGGAAACAGCGGAGGACTACCAGAGGTAGAGGCGGAGGTGACAAGTCTATAGGAGTCGATCCTAAGACGAGCGGAGGTCAATGAGAGAGAAACTCAAGTCGGACGGAGGAGGGAATGAGCAGAGTCTAAGATGATATTCGAACTCAGGAAACTACAGAGATTGTACAGGGGTTTATATACTACTGAGGACATAACAGAGAACAGTAAGTGCAGTGCGAAGCTATGTAAAGCTATGAAGAAAACATATGGGACGACTATCACTAGTCTATCGGAACTTAGTAAAATGAAGACAGAAATGAATAAGGGACGGAAAATAAAGCGTACTAACTGATAAGGGAAATACCAAAGGGATAAGGCACGGAAGTTAGACACGGGTCGGATCCGGACGATACATAGAAGTCGGCCGGATCCGGAAATCCGGAAATGATGAGTGTGATAGGTCCGGGTCCAGAACGCAGGATATGACAGTAATCAGCAATATAAAATGTTGTGGTCTTGCACAGCCTAGTCTGCTATACTTGTAGACAAGTGCGTTCGACCTGAGGGGTTAGCTATCTGGTATTAGTCTGTAAGTGGTGGAATGTCAAGTGATCAAAAGTCCGAGCGCGGTGTAGCACTCGAGCTTGCGCTAGGCTCGTATTCAACTGATTCACGATTCATGTCTAATGCCCATTGCACGATAATCACTTCCCGTTCAATTCGACGCTTTGGCATTGGACCCGACGCTTTGACTGATGGACCCGACGTTTCCCGCGCATTGGACCCGATATTTTCCCGTGCACTTGTCCTATCCGTGTCCTGTCCTGTCTTGCTAGCCCCACTAGGTGCGTAGTTCATTATTTCGCACAATACTCACATTGTAGCCAGCACTATTACATGTTTTCCCATAGTCCGCAGTGCCTCATGTTTGTTTACATGTACTTTGGATCCGAAATACTCCACCGCTACTTTCACCTATGGGTTCCGCATTTCTGCGTACTTACATATATATTGGACTGACCTCTAGCATTATTCAGGATCCAAGTAGTGGAGAGCTGTTCCCCGACACTTTGTGGTCAAACCCAATATTTCGTAGTTCTTAGTTGCTATTGCGAATATTATTGCTCTTTCCATCCGAAACACCTGTCATTATCAATATTCTGCATACCGCTCGCTTTCCCAACACTTGCTATCACCATTCTCCATAATCCGACAAACCTGCACCCAAAACCTGCTAGTCTGCTAACCCGAAAACATCAGACCCGATGCTTTGGCGTCAGACTCATGATTATACCTTCGGACTTTGTTTCCTGCACTCGGACTTTTGATCACTTGACATTCCACCACTTACAGACTAATACCAGATAGCTAACCCCTCGGGTCGAATGCACTTGTCTACAAGTATAGCAGACTAGGCCGCACAAGACCTCAACATTTTTATATTGCTGATTACTTGCTTCGTGTAGTATTCAGCTATTGTTGTCTCGTTACAATGGTCCTGAGGATCCGGTCAACAGATATTCAGTAAAGGAGCATGAGCCAGTAGATGGTGAGGGCGAGGATGAAGGGAAAATGATAGGGGGGCCATGTGACCAATGTTACTTGTAACACTACCAGGCTACTGTTTGAATAGAGGAGAAAAAGAAGCATTGCACACTGATGAAGCAATTATCATTAACAGTGATGAGATTAATAGCAATGAGAGTAATCATGAAGATAGCTTCAGTAAGGAAATCACTGAGGATATATTGAGTAAGTGCATCCATCCTTGAAAATATGTATTTAAATGCTCTATCAAGAGATGTGGCAGGGTCAAAGTCCATCAGTTCCTTGATAAGAAAAATGCTCATTTGACTAGTAACATGTGAAATCACACCAAGATCTGTTGGGTTAAGGAGGTGCTGCAAGCAGCAGATGAAGCAAAAAAAATGATACCAAGGTTTGAACAAAGATTGTTGCAAGCATCCTATGAGATGGATCAATTACTACATCATTCAAGTAAAAGGGGAAGTGTTACGACTGGAATAAGTTGAGCCATCTGTGTTCAAATGGGCAAGCTAGAGATGGACAGTGTTCTACTCTTAAATGAGAGGTCAAGGTTTCTGGCTAAGGCAAGTGGTGACGGCTTCCTTAGAATGGTGGATCAGACAACTAAGTTGGGGACTTAGTTGAAAGAGATTCTAGGTGATGACCCAGTAGATTAAAGTAGTGTAAAGAGTTGATTCTTTGTAGGTGCTACAATAGTGTCACCTTAGAACTCAATGTGCGAGTGTGATGCTCATCCCAAAGAGACTGCCTATAGATCTATCTCTTGATATAAATGCAAGGGATATCTTGTTAAGATTGAAGATGAGAAAAGGAAAGGTTACCCAAAGTGCCTTCTGAGTTCCAAAGATGTGTCTGAAGTACCAAAGTACTTGTCCGATGCGAGCAAAGGTGGTCCAAAGTCAAAAAAAAACAAAGATTTGAGGTTGCATGAAGCATCCGAAGAGCTTCCGATGAACAGCAAAGGTTCTGAGAGTGGAATACAGTGGGTATGTCAAAGTATGTCAAAGTATAAGACTTGCGAGGGTACCAAAGTACGACTATGCAAAGCCTATTGAAAGAACTCAGAGATAGCAAGATGCGAAATGGCAGCGGTCAAGCCAAACAATCATTCTGAATGAACAAAAGATCAATTGTGCAAAGTATGACTATCCGAAAGTAACTCTACTAACTATGACTTGTATCACCTCCTGTGGGGAGCTCTGATGACCACCTCTTGTTGGCACTTTGCTTTGACCCATCTGATTTCTCCCACATATCCTTTTTGACACATGCTGGCAACATGTTGCACACTCACAGCACCTGCACCATCAATATTGCACCATCCACACTTGATTTTCACCATTGTCCTCACTTGGCTCTTTGTTCATGGCCATTTTCACCCATCCATATGACATCTGCATCTCATCTGCACGTCTCACATCAATGCATTTATTTCTCCTGTACTCATATGATGCTGGCCACACCACCATGCACCATCAACATGCTACCAGCATCAACTGCATGCACCTCCACCATTCTATGTGTCACCTGCATGCACCCACATCACCATGTATAATCTGTGTGCTCCCAGCACCAACCATTGGAACGGGCACGGACTGCAAGGGAACCAAGGCCAGACCTCTATGGCGGGAGGCTACGGCTCTGTCTATCGAGGACAGACTACGACACACGCGAGGACTACCGACTACGAGCCAGGACTCCTGCCACCGCGCCAGGACCCCTGCCACTCCCGTCCTGTTCTGCCAGAGCGCCCCGCTACATATGCCACCCCTCCAAATGCAACCGTCCGCGGTTGCACAACGAAAGACGAACGTGCGGGAGTGCGGAAACCTGCGCCAGACCACCACCCTGGTACACCTCCCCCCTCTCCAAATGCAACCGTCCGCGGTTGTACCACGAACGACGAATGTGTGGCCGCAGTCCGAAAATGACGAGAATGCGGCGGCTGAACGAGACGGAGAGGTTTTTGACACCGGCAAGTAGGACAATGTGGTGTACTAGTAGCATGGTGGGAAAAATGATATGGCGAGTTGTCGAAGAATGTTGGATAGCGTCTCAAGTGTGAGTGATGTGGGAGTACTGCAAATACTGTGTGAGGGAGTTGAACATGAGTCCGCAAACGACGACGCCGGTACTGAAGACTGGACCATGGGTTGCGACAGGAAGTGCGAAGGGCCGAAAAATCGCGCGAAGGTCGAGTCTGAGCAACTGTGTAGCACACATCATCTGCCCAAGTGGGCGGGGCAGTATGAAGGTTAGTGTTGGTGATTGGCGAAGACGGTAGATAGGATGGCAACAGTACAGACGAACTCCATGCCTTCAACTGCGCAATGTCAGCGTCTCGACGATTCCTATCTTCCAACTTCTCACAACTCCGCTGGAGCTTGATGCTGGGAACTCGTAGCACATCTTCAACGAACTCGTCCCATGTTGAGTAACTGCATGTTAGGTGGTCCTTGAGGAGGTCGGGGATGCCCTCGAGCACATCCTCAATCAAATCTCCTTTTAAATCTCCCATACCCAAAGCAAGTTGCGAGATCTCAGTTGCCCATACAACATGCGCAAAGTTGCCGTTGGGCGCCAATGCTCCAATATCACCCTCTTTCAGTGCATGCGCAGCCACGCGCTCTCTCTGCTGCGCACGAGATAACTTGGGCGGTTTCAGAAGTGGCCACCGTTTGAAAAAAGCTATCGTGAGTGCCGCAAATGTGGCAGTTTGGACTGAGTTGAGTGACTGGAACCACTGGTCTGCCATTTGTCCGGGCACGAGTTGCATAGAGAAGCGCCGGACACGCTGAGTGTCGGTCCATGTTGTTGGAAGGGAGAGCTGGAATTCTGTGAACCACGTAGACGGTTCCTCATTGCCGCTATAGTCACCATAGAAGAGCGGGACAGGTTCTATAGACATGAATTTGAAATTCGGGGACCAGAAACCAAGAGAAGTCGAAAAGTAGACCGGAGCAAAAAAATGTGAAAATGCGAAAACCAGGACTCAGATCTCAGATGTCAAGCACGGGGAGCGAAGACCACTCTCATCACCAGATGGAACGGGCACGGACTGCAAGGGAACCAAGGCCAGACCTCTATGGCGGGAGGCTACGGCTCTGTCTATCGAGGACAGACTACGACACACGCGAGGACTACCGACTACGAGCCAGGACTCCTGCCACCGCGCCAGGACCCCTGCCACTCCCGTCCTGTTCTGCCAGAGCGCCCCGCTACACCATGTGCACTACACATCACCCACATGCACCTGCATCATCTGTGTGCATCACACATTATCTGTGTGTAACTGACATTCCCTGCACGCACTATGTGTCGTCCATGTGCACCTTGCACCACCCATGACCCATCTGCCACCTGCCAAATCTTACTGTTTGTTTGTTGCCTTTACACCCTCATATAACCACATAACACACATGACTCACACCACACTCCGCCACCCAGTGTTCAGCCCCAGTATACGTGGCCAATGCCAATGCAATGACAACTGAATGCGAAGAGTTTGAGAGGAGGAAGATCCCTTGTATGGTTTATCTATTCTTTTCTTTTGTATCATTTCACTCTTTGTATGCTACATACAACCATTTTGCTTGCCATCAATTGATTCATTCACACATCCATCCTCATTTCAACAAAGTTCTCCCTACCCCATTCTACTCATACACCCTTAGCATACTATTCTACCTCCCTGCACCTTATCTGTTTTGTTTTCCATACTCTGTTCAATGTTACCTTAGTTCATTTCAGTCTGTTTTTTGTTTTTTTTCACACTACACTACCTACATTTCATGTTCACACTGTTACAATCTTGTCCCCATTACCTATAGACTTGACTTCCTGTATGTCATCTTGTCTTCTGCACATCACCTTGTCTCTCCACACATTGTCTCGACTTCCTGTATGTTGTCTCAGCTCCCCACATGTTGTCTTGGCTCCCCACATGTCATCTTGGCTCCCCATGTGTTGCCTCATCGTCCCACACATTGTCCTGTTTCAGTTTATTTAGCCATGACCCAGGAGTATCATTTTTAGTGGGGGGGATCTGTGTCAGTAGGGGTTGGCATTGAGGGTCTTTCAGAGGTTTCAAGGGTCTTTTGGAGGTGCCAGGGGTCCTGTCTGGACCTTGAGGCACATAGGTATATATCACTAGTGTCTGTCAGTAGCATAGACCTTACTTATCCCATCGGTGTAGAGACTGATATCTCTGTGGCCTTGCAGAGTGTCATATCCCGTATTCCGGACTTACATCCGACAATATTCCCACACCTCATCCGGACCTTTGGACGCCCTATCCATGTCTCCAGTCCTCTATTCATCTGGATCCCTGCACCTCTGCACATCCACATCCACATCCACATCCCTTTACCTCTATACCTCAGCTAGCCTGCATCAGTCATCCTTTGTCCCATCACCCTAATGTCATATCCCATATATCCACGCGTCTCATCCGGACGTCCGGTCCGATCTGGTCCGATCTGATCTGATCCGATATACGATAAGCTTCCTAATTCATTCCTGTGCATATAACGTTAACACAGCCTATTCCTCTATTCAGTATTCCTTGTCCTCGGTATCTCGGTTATACTTACTACCGGTATGCTTACTGATCCGTTAACCTATGCTTCATTTCTGACTCGCGCTTGATAACTTTGCTT